TTTTTGCACTAATTAGCATATGTACATCATAAACCGAGAACTATATCGCAAGTAAATACCATCTATTGCTATAGCCATATATCATTTATTCCACTGTACATTTCTAAGTGACATTTCTGTGGTTGAGACTAGTTGTTTACGTTGCGATATGCAAATTGACCCAAATACTGAAAAAATGGGCAAGCGAAAAGCATTCTTTTAAGGACAACTTCTAAAAATTTAACAGCTACTTTGAGTTTGCGAACTTGCTTTAGATCTTTTATTTGTATGTTGTACGCATTAGCAAATTTTCGCGTATGTTAAAATAACATTTTTGTGCTGTCGGTTTATTGGTACTAATATAGCGAGCACCTTTTTTATCCACCATTGTTTCCATGTTCGGGGTTAATAATGCATATGTCATTATATGACAGCAAAAAGCAGCATTACCGCACCGTACAACTGTGCTAAATTATAATCGCTGATATTTAGCCAGATTTATTTACTTGCTGAAATTCTAGCGAAGAAGGTCCGAGCAAAGCTGATTAGACGACTAACGCCCAAAAATACAGCTTTATGCCACTTGCTACATGGTGGTTGACAAATTAATTTTTGAACTAAATTGGTACCTAATACATTAATTGCCCACTTGGTTGTGTGTCAAATAAATTTCCTCATTCGAAAGAAATAAAGGAAGACGAAAAATCAACTAAAAACTTCCCGCAAGGCACCATCTCTCAACAACTTGATGTTTATTTTTCGCACCTTGGGATCTTTATTTGGCACACAATTGCTGACTAACATGCTTAGCACCACTAAAGTCCGCTATTGTTTTCCCGGAGTCCTTGCGATATTATTATAAACAAACAATAACTTTGGCAATGCTTCTGTATTTCATAAACTTCCCACTATTTTGGAAGAGCACCGGGGACTCTGTCCTCGTTTTTTAGCTAGGACGGAAGCCGTAGACAGCCGAAAATGGCTGCAAATCTTTAAAGTGTTTCAAATGGGTATTAGGTCTAAGAATGGATGGTGATTTTGTAGTTTTCAAAGTACAAATCATTGTTTGAATTTTGAGAGGTAGGGAAGTTCGCGAAAAATGGAGAGCTTTGGCTAGCTGCCTCAAGCTGTTTAGGCATAGCCCTTCCCCCTCTCTCCTCCTCTCCCTCCCCCATCCAGAGGTTTTGCAGGCTACTAGTTCATAGTTGTTGTAATCAAACTGAAATGTGCAAAATGGAAGTCGGAAATTCACGGGACCTGCTGGTACTCTCCTACTTGACTAGCATGCACGGGAAGCATTGAAAATGATTTAAGATTGCTAATGAAGTGTACCGTCCTTGACAGATGAGATGAGCTGTCAGAGTACGGCAATTCACACGCAATCGCTGCAACCACACATCTTCATACATACGCAGCTCATACCATTAAAGCTGATTTACAGGGTGGTTGACACAAGTATTCGGGAGCAGAATACATTCTTAGAAAAAAAATCTAGTTAACTTGATTTAGTTTCTTGAATTATCAAAAAGGCTGGTCCAAGTTATAGAGCCTACATTTTTCGAATCCTTTTTTAGAAAACTGTATTTTTTAAAGTTCTCGGGAATTCCATTCAAATGGATAGGAAAGTTTTATCTTTAAGGTACATATCTAGGGCCAAATCCTAAGGTAAACCATAACTTTCTCAATAGCATAATTTATAGACCAACTTACGTGGAAATTTCTACCGCTTGAAATCTTTTCGTTTTCTAAATACTGTTTTTGATATTTTTCTAATTTACCATATAACTTGAGAATTGACTTGTCTTTCCTGACAGGCAATATTTTATAATTGTTGCTAAAGCTCTTTTTGTAAAAAAATTATTTCGAGTGGACTCGAAAGCTCTCTCAAGAAAAATTTCAAATCAGCCAAGTTCTCCTTAATCCCTGCAAAATTCCATAAAATTGTTTCGAAAATCCTGACAAAAAATTTTCTTTAGAGCTTGGATTTCGCAGCCGGCCAACATGCCACTGCTATTGATGTCCCAATGGTATATATGGAAAACCCGTATAGTGAAGTTTACATATCACCAAATGGAATACTTGGCTTTGGAGATCGATTACCAGGTATGCTGAAAATTTTGCATTTTCCTAGTTTTGAAAAATTTCTTTGCAGATGCTGTTGTACCGTTGCAAAGGCTAAATAAGAGTGCCATAGCTCCTTTCTATGCTCCAGCTAGCGAAGGGACCGTATATTACAGGTAATTTTTTACTTCTTAGACTTCGAAGACCAGAAAATTAATTTTCAGGGCAACGTCATCAGATCGAGCTCTTCTGCGTCGTTTGACTGACTATATTCATAAGACTTTCGCCGACAGTTCTGACTTTCAAACCCTACAAGCGATGGTTATCACTTGGGACGGAGTTCAAAACAAAGAGCAAGATGGCGGAGCGACATTTCAAGTACGAAAACAATGCAACATTCGCTTCTAAATAATGGTACCTTTCGATCTGATGACCTTTTCTTCTAGCTAGCGTTAGCATCCGATGGAATGACTACATACGCGCTGATGCAGTTTCTTACACTGCCATGGTCGGCATCGGAAGGGATCTATGCGCAGAGCGGTTTTGCTATGCCGGATGGACGTTATCAGAGCAATACGAATTCTGGCGGTCCCGATGTGAAAGAACTTGCTCGGTAGGGCTTTAAGAGATACTTATATCGTTGTAAGTCATGGTGTGGGCTCTTTTGCACATCTACACTGTGTTATCCTATGCATGATTATTTATCCTGTATTATGGAGCATCTGAAGAGGGTGGGCTTTTTTGCTCCGCTCAGTACAAACAGTCTCACTCCATGATCTCAATCCAACATTATGTACATCGTAGGGTGTGAAGTGGGCTTCCTCTAC